TGTGGCAGCCGCTGAAGAGGCAGTATCTTTGCCTGAGAGTCTGTGGGGGTCTTGGATTTCTTGGAAGGATTTTGGGGATCAGGAATCCTGGGCTTTAGATCTGAACCTGGCAGGTAAATACCTGCCTAGTCTCAGCACTCCCAGCCACCTACCTTTTCCTCCAGCTCCTTCAGCTGGCGCCTCTGCAGCTCCAGCTTGCCCTCCATCTCCCGGATTTTCTGAAATACATCAAGACATGTGTCAGAAAAAGACTCCCAGGTCCCAAACCTGACCTTCGTCTTTTATGGTGGTCCAGCATAGAAGCCGTGAAGGATGGGCACAGGACAGCCAGTCCCCCAGAGGAACACTCTCTTCTGACTTAAAACAGGTGAATGGGTTTCACCTGCTTGTAAAGTCCATGAATTGTTCATGTCTAGTGTAGACTCATAGGATGAGAGTGAGCCAGAGCACCTAGGTTCCCAGCAGGACAACAAATGTCATGGTTGGGAGTGGCCTCAATCACTCATGTGTCCAGCATCCAGGAAGCTGGGCCTGGGGTGCAGGGAAGGAGAAGGGCAGAGAGGTAGAGATGGTGGAGCCATGCTATGCATCCATTAACACCCCTCAATGGGAATGCCATGGGGTGGGTGGAGGCTCTGCAGTGTAGGGAACACACTTCCCAACAAAGCTCTATGTAGCTTCTCCTTCCTCGGCTATCATCAGGGTTCTGGAACCTTCTTTCCTCTGCTCAGTATCTATCATGTGACCCTCAGAGATGCTGAGGTCCTCCAAGAAGTAACCAGTCAGGTTCCTAGGCTGATTCTCAAGCTCTTCGCCATCCCAAACCCAACATCAGAGAGATGCTGGACCAGCGTGGTCCCTGTGCATCAAGCTGCAGTAAAGGGAGTGTTGGGGGAAGGTGGGAGAAATGTCTGTTTTGTGTGTACATTTCAGCCAATGAAAAGAACAAGTGTGCCATCTATGCAACACCCAAGGGCTTCATGTTTCCTTAGCCACCAGGGAGGGAATGCTGGCCACTCAGTGACAGGTACCCGTGAGAAAAGATGCTGTGCCTACAGAACCTTGCCTACCAGCAGCTCTCCACCCAACTTCTGGGGTGTCTCATGCCCAGCAAGTGCCAGCAGGGGGCATCAGGGGCCCAGGGTATCCTAGAGGCACAAGATGGGGAAATGACACTGTGGGGGCCACCACCAGTACCTGCTGGGCCTGCTGCAACAGCTCCATCCGCTCACGTAGGATCTGGCTGTCGAACTCCCGGCTCTGACGAAGGAGCTGTCTGCGCACCTTCTCTACAGCTGCCTGGAGGTCCTCGCGCTGGCTGGCACTCAGTGCCTCGCTGGCTCTCCGCCCTGGCTCCTGCTGCAGTGCATTGTACAAGGTGGCCTCTAAGTCCTGGATTTTCTGCATGGCCCAAACCACAGACAGTTGAGGTTACAAAAAGGTAGACAATCATCACTATCAGGAGATGCTGATGAAGTTCACACTAGGAAGAGAGTGTCAGTATGCAGGGTCCAGGAGAGCAGCAAGTGTGTGCCTTGACCAGAGTGACCTCCCCATGCGGGCCCTTGTGAGACTCACTGCTCAGTGGTTCTCAATCTTCCTAATGCTGTGACCCTTTAATACAGTTCCTCATGCTGTGGTGACCCGTAACCATAAAGTTATTTTCATTGCTACTTCGTAACTATAATTTTGCTAATATATGAGTCATAATACATAATTTTGGAGATAGAGGTTTGTCAAAGGGGATGTGACCCACAGGTTGAGAACGTCTAGTTTAGGGTTTGCTAGGCACTTAATAGTTATCTTACCATGGTACCTAGGGGCAAAGGAGAAGACTGTCTCTCTCCTGCTTCCACAAAACCCTTCATCCCTTGCTAAGAAACATCACAACCATGTGATGGAACCTATGAGGCAGAGCAGCCCAGAGAAGGAAGGCTCTGCAAGCCCCACCCCTTACAACATTGTTCTGACTTCCTAGAAAGATCCTAGCCCTGCTGGGTCACGATGATTTAGCCACAGACATTATCACCTTCTCCCCAGGTCCTGGTCCTGAGAAAGCAGAAGGCAGGACAGCGGAATTCCATGTGGCCTCTGTCTAGACTTCACATGGAACAGGAGCTTATGTGATTTCTGGCTCACTCCTCTCCATTCAGCAACCAAGTTTCTGGGAGACCCACTGGTTGCCACCTTCCAGACTGGCCCTCACCTCCAAACCTGGATCCCAGTGTGGGCCTGGCCCATCTCACCCACTTCTCTCTCCACACCATGACAAAGGGTGATAGGCATGCTTCCAGTGCCTTCCCTTCCCCAGCCTGGATGCAGGAGGTGAATAGCTCACTGACTAGGCTCGAGGTGAATCTGGTACCTTGTGAGACTTGCCTGGGATCTCACAAGACTGAAATCCCTCTGGGTACATGCTGCCCACTCGAAGTTTAGTGCACTTTTTGGGGATGAATGTCAGTAACTTCTACAGGGACCAAGATCATTAAAGTAGGGATGTCTTCAAAGAGCCAGCATGCCCAAGGCCCTGAGCCTGTCTGCACACAGTCCTCAGAAGATGATAGGGCACCAGCTGTTCTGTGAGAGGTCCCAGTGAGCCACAGCACTTGGCAATGGCTGGCCTCCACCCCTCCTTTGGCACAGTGTGACCCAGAGAGTTCTTTAGGATCATCACCCTCAGCTTTCCACTTAATGTATCACCCCTTTAAGGTAACTAAGTCCTTGCAGTTTCCTTAGGATTGTCGTCCTTCAGAGATGTTAAACATACTTGGAAGGCAATGCTGGACAGTACAGATGTGTTCTTCATGGCTGATTACAAGGGCCAAAATTGGATGAAGTCGAGGAAAAATCAAAATAAAGAAATGGACAGATGATCAAGAGCACAGATGAGAGTGTTTCCACTCAGTCATTTCTCCATGCTGGTGTCAGCTACATCACATGATAAGATGCTGCTTGGTGGTGAGTGCTGACCATCTATTTGATTTGTGAAGAAGCACTAGACAATCAGGGAATCCCATGTCTGGGTGTCTGTGATAGCATTTCCAGAGAAGCAACCCTGAGGGTCTGACCTCATCAGTGGGTTCTTAATATGATAGCATTACTGACAGGTGGTGGCAGGGAGGAGGTGAGACCAGGCTGGAGGGAGTAAGTGACTAGGACTGGGTTCTTCCAGTTATATCTTGCCTTGGCCCTTTCCTTTTCTGCTTCCTGCCCCTATGATATGAACTATTATGTTTGACACCATTGAAACCACGAACCAAAGGAAACCCTGTTTTCAGTCTCTGTGATGTGAAAAGCCACTAACATAGCAGTGTCTTGTAAGATTCACTGTTGCTGGAGCTGCCTCCAAGTGAGGTAGACTAGCCTCTGTCTCCATGTTTCCTTATCCACTCTGCATGTCCTACTTAGAGTCTAGACAAAGGTTCATTTGAGCCCTGTAGAGAAGAACAGCTGCTTCCTGCACAGAGTGTCACTAACTTTCCCTTCATCATGGTGACATCTTGGAAATGTCTACAACCTCACTCAATACCCTCACCCACAAGTAAGAGCAGCTCTTAGTGCTGGGGACTTGGGGCTTTCGGTGTAATGTCATCTGAATCTGAAACTCAAACTCCAAAAAACGTCCCGACTCTTTTGAGAACCCACAGTATCTCATGGGACTTAAAACTCTCCCCATTTGCTCAGGCGCATCTGGCACAGCTGGCCACAGCTCACGGCCTCACCTCTCTGTTCTTTTAGGGTCATCTCCTTTTCCTACTTATGAGGAAATCTGCTTTTGGATTTTGTTTTGAGACAGGTCTGGTATTCACTGCATAGTGGAGGGTGATACTGAACTTCTGATCCTCCTGCCTCCACCTGTGTGTTAGGATTACAGACAGGCGGCATCATGCTTGGTTTCCACTGTACTGGGGATTGAACGGGCTTTACAAATGCTAGACAAGCACTCTACTAAGCTATATCACGAGCCCCTTTGGAATTTTAAGAATAAATAAACATTTATGAATCAAAATGTATATACAAAAACCTTTTCTCACTCAGCTCAAATGACTGCTAGATTAGTAAGCTAGTAGTCCAAGAAGAAGAAAAAAATTCAAGATCACCAACACTTTGTAAAAACCATAGCTCATCTGGAATACCCGACTGCTTGCTGGCCATTCTAGTCATGTGTGCAGAAGGCACAGCATTGTACCCTGAAGCCTGGTGTGCTGCCTGCAGGAAGCAGCCTCTAAGACTGAGAGGAGAAAGCCAAAGTGTCAAACCCACTTCTGGTCCTACCAGGTAGGCCTGGTCGAGGGCTTCCTTCCTGTAGTCCAGTTCCTGCTCCAGGTAGCCCTTCTGCCTGCTGAACAAGTCCTAGAAGAGAGGAGCACCATTATGAACCTGGCCAGAGCACGTCAGCAGCAGGGAGGCTCTGAGTCTACCCACCAGTGACTCAGGGCTGGGGGATGGGGAGGCCTTGACCACCCTGTGTGAACTCTCAGCACAGCCCTCGCTGCCCTGGGCTGCCCGACTGTCCTGAGAACCCTGATCAGGACTATCCTCACTCCAGCTCCCTCTCCTCTTGAGTATCTGGTAACAAGGAGGGGACCTCACATGCAGCCTGCTTCACAGCCCACATCCCAGGAGTCCCAAGTCCCTGTGCTGTGGCCTGGGGCCTCTGAAGATTGTCCTAACAGCTCTCAGGTACAGCACATCCCCTGCCTAGGTTGTGCCCCCCCCCACTTGCCTCCCATGGATCTCACTGTTAAAAACCCCCAAACACCCCCAAAGCCTCCTGGTTCCCTCTACACAAGTCTCATCTGAGCAGACTCTGTCCCATTCTACACCCATGAGGTCTTATGTCAGAAGTCACATTGCAGCCCCTGTATTTTATAGATGAGGAAACAAGGCCAAGGAGACCAGTGCCTTGTCCATGGTGCTATTGATGACAGAAGTGACTAGAAACCCAAATTCTGAGGCCTGTCCAGGGCTCTCCCGACACCATGTGCTACTTTGGTTCTGTGTGACAGCCCCCTCCTTTACTGAGCTCTCAAGTGAAGTTGGAATACAGACTGGTCTTAGGCCGTTTCAGAGCCAGGTCTTCTAGAATGGCTTCTTTCACCTCCCTGGGTTGAGGACAGTGTCTCCCCTAAGTAGGGCTGCTACATGGGCATAACACTCGTCATGGTCACAATACAGCCAGGTTTGCATTAAAGCAACCAAAACATAACCAAGGAAGACCAACTCCAGGTCCCCAAGCCATTCTGTAAAGACTCCAGCTATATGTGTGCCTGCCAAGTCCCTCAGACAAGCACCTGTGCGTCATGCTATGTCTCTAACCTTTTCAAGCTACACTCATGTGACTCAAGGGCCATGTGAGCCATGTGAGCTCAGGACTGGGCACAAGGCCAGAGATGTGTTAAGTTGAAAACTGGGTGAGTGGGAAAGGAAGTGGATGGTGATGTCTCCGAGGGGCTCACAAGGGCTGAAGAACTACAACAATGCTGAGCCTCCCACAAAGTCAAACACCTGAGTTCTCCATCCCGCCCTGACTCAGATGCTGGAATCTTTACCTTCTCCTTCTCCAGGTCCATCATCTTCTGAGTGAGGGCTGCCTCTGTTCCCTCTATCTGCTTCAGCCACTAGAAAACAGCAGGACAGGAGGATGTATGCAAGTGAGTGGGGGCACTGGGGGTCAGAGGGACTGGGCCTTGCAGCCTGTACAGGTATTTTCTCAGGATGATGGGTGATGCACATTCACAGAGCTGTGTGTACATGGCTGTGGCTGTGTGTGCACCATGAGAGCTGTGTCTAAGTGGGTTCTTGGGTGGACTGGAGCTAGAAGGCTGCATGTCATCCATGTGACCCCCACTGACCCTCTCATAACCATCCCAGGGGAAGGCAGAAACTCTGCTATTTTTCAGGTAAAGACATGAAGGCTGTTAAGTCTTTTGTCCAAAGTCACAGTCGTGGACTAGGGGTATACAACCCAGCTTGCAGGACTGGGAAACCACTCCCATGATACTTCCAAGGTGTGCTGTGAGAGCAGGATGCAGACAGGAGCTGGATACATGCATGTAGGGTGGAGATACAAGGGCATGAAAGTGGGTAAGAGCCAGGAGGACCCTCAGACATGCCAGTGACCACATGAGGCACATGCCTGATGGCTGCAATATATCCTGTCTTAGGTCTTGGCAGATGTTGGTACACAGTGTGTCCCTGTCACTAGGTGGACTTTGGGGATGAATGGGGATGTCAAATGTACCCAGGAGTATTCAGGTTTCACTGATTTGACACTGAATATGAATTACGACTTTGACCTTCTAGCTGTGATGCCCTGCAGTCTGGCCTGGTGACCCTGTGCCTCTTTCCAGACTGAGGTTTCCAATAGCTTCCCAGGACTCACTGATTTCCTCCTCCTCTGGCCACAGTTCTGAGGTCCAGCTTAACCACCCTGAACTATTGCTGCTCTAGAGCTCTGTCTCTGGCCTTCACTCTCTATCTCAGCCCTCGAGAGTCCCACCCAGTCCAGACACTCCATACTGTGTTTTATGCTCTTTTCCTGTTTTTCAGACCCACCACACTCTTCCTCCCTCTCCATGACCACCATCCAAATCAGAGCCCCAGCCGGTGCCTAGTCCATGTCTGACCCTACCAGGGTCCCCAAACCCTTTCCGTCTGCACACAGCCTTGTAGAGCTTTTCTCTTTCTGTTCAGAACCCACCACACATCCTCTACTCCTGACAACACAGGCAAAGTTAACACTGCCCCCCTGAGGATCATTATGGTCCCTCAATAAGCTCTGTTGCCCCCTCAGAACCTGTGCCTGGCCAGGCATAGTGGAATACACCTTTAATCCCAGCACTCAGAAGGCAGAGGCAGATAGCTATCTCTGATTTTGAGGCCAGCCTTGTCTACACAGTAAGGTCTAGGCCAGCCAGGACCTCATAGTGAGGTGCTGGCTCCCCACCCCCACCCACTGTCCCCTCACAAAAGCTACCTGCACCTTAGTTGTCTGAAAATGCACTTGGCTCCTCAGACAGAGTGACCCATCTTTCATCTCAGGACTTTTGTGTATGCTGCTCAGACATCAGTAGCTCTAACATCAGCATCAGTTCCAGGCCTTTGCCAAGCTAACATCTACCCAGCTCATCAGTCTCAAGCTGCCTCTACCCTCTCCTCCAGGAAGCCATACTGCTTCTCAAAGCCACAGGGCCATCTTGTCCTGGTGCTCACATGATGACCCTATCACTCATTTCGACTTCCACCTACCAGCCAAAGGTGGGAACTGGCAGAGCCAAGCACACAGTATGTGGTAAATAAACACCTGTGGAGTGAAGAGGGTCTGGCATGGGTATGGGTGGGAGGAGTTAGAGAGGTGTGAAAGCCATGATCAGAGATTCCTCCCACATCAAGGTCAACGTGGCCCTGAGCAGCCCCGTGGGGCCAGCAGCAGAGGGATGCCAAGCCAGCTCCTCCTCACACAGCTGTGTAGCTTCTTGTGAAACAGATAAACGATTCTGTTGAGTAATTTAGAACATTGTGCTTTTTAATAGCCTGATGTGAGCATGAAATAAATTTTGAAAGTGGGCTGTAGGGGTGCTTTCCTGTCTTGAACAACACACGGCGTTTTCAGGACCATGGACAGTAACTGGGTCCTGAGAGCTGGGTCCTGAGCAGCTGACTGAAGTTTCTGTCCCCTAACCTCACATGCCCTTGAGGAGAATGCTCCTATTCACTGTAGGCACTCCCACAAGGGAGAGATCTGATTGGACAGGAAGGAGGGGGCCTAACCACTGAGGTTGCTCCAGAATCTGGATGTCTTATGAGCATATACAATTCAAACAAAAAGTCATCTCTTTACATCCCATGCCAGGTTTCATCAGGGGCAGAGCCTAGGGCTCCTCTGCAGCTGGTGGCTACTCTCCCCTCTCGCTACATTGACTCCAGGACAACCCAGAAAGCTTCACTGTGGCTGAAGGCCTAGTGACCCGTGGATCACAAAGAGAGCATCACATAGTGGGTTTTTTGTTTGTGTGTTTCGGCTTGGTTTGATTTTGTTTTTCAAAGTGTTTATCATCTTCCTGAGCTATGTGCCTACTTCTCAAAGGGTTTTGAACCTGACAGAGAAGAGGCCTGTCTGACTGGGAGCCACAGATGAGCCACAGCCCCTTTACATCTTAAATTTGAACCTCTCTGTGGGCTCAAACTTGGGCCAAGGTGAAGCATGATGTAGCTGTTAGCCTTATGATCAGTTAATCTGATTGGAGCAAGTCTGATGACACTTGTCTGCAGCCCAGAACTTGAGCAAGCTCCTGATGGAACAGGAGAAAGACACACACAAAGGGCAGGAGGAGAGGAGCTGCTTAATGTGAGACCATCACAGGAACATAGAACCACCTGACAAGACCGGGATACACTTTGCCTACACACCAAGAAATGGCCTTAGTGCTGCTAAGAGAGAGCTGGGCATGGGCTCACTGGGAACTGAGTGACAGCTGTTGTTGTTTTCTGTTGTTTGTTTGTTTGTTTTTTTAAGTGAGGTGTGGTGTCTGAGGAGAGCTTCCTGGAGTCCCTAACCAAGTTCTCTGACATCCATACTAAAGGCACTGTTGTACAACTCATCCTCTCTGCAGTCACTTGTCTCTCCTTGCACTCGACTGTCCCTGCTTTAGCACTAACATGTCCACATCTCAGGGCACCTCCAAGTCCCAGGTAGGGAAGACTATACTGGTTACCCAGATACCCTGTCAGCATTCTCAGAGGTCTTATGGCCCAGTTCCCACCCAGTTCCAAACCGTATTCGTGAACATTTTCTCCAAGCAGGGAGAATATAAACAGCAGTACCCATTCTGGATTATTTAGTTCACAGGCAAATGTCTGAACCAGTGTCTTGGCAGAGACAAGTCTGAGCAGAACCTAGCTTAAAGCCAGTCTCCAGCCTGCTGCTTCTTCAATGCACTCAGAGTTCTGCCCACAGATACCATCCATAGACCCCCTGCTTTCTCGTGCTTTCATGAAGCATTGGGGGGGCTGGCAACCAGACAGCCAGTCTCATCCTCTAGTATTTAGGACACAAAGTGGAATGCCAGGTAGGCCAGTGTAGTGAGGTGATGGCAGCCAGTAGCAGATGGGTGTCAGCTAGCAGGAAGCTGGCAAAGGTGAGCAGAGTGCAAGCCAGAGTAGCTGATGCCAGACAGGCCCCATTTCCTCCTCTGTAAGAGAATGCAAGAAGTTGAGGTGCCCTAAGTTGCTAGGATACTGGACTGGGCATAGTTGCTGGGACAGGTGTGGGAAGAAGTGTCATGGAAACTGTGCTGCCTGAAGCCTGTTCCCAGTGAGGTCCCCACCTTCCACCGCGGCAGCCCTGCCATGGAGGACACTCCAGGGACTGGAAAACCAGTAATACTATTGTTACTATCCTAGTCTACTGTGAGCCAGCCACCCAAAGCCACAGACTGTTCCTACTCTGTCCATCAGATCCTGAGAACACGGAAGAGCAAATAGTGAAGCCAAGACGCAAACTAGGAGAGGCCACCCTGGTAGCAAGGGAGCTTGCAAATATGGCCTCTCCTCATTCTCCAGAGACTTGCTAGGTACTGAGCCCCAACAGGCTATGTGAATGAAGAACACACTGAGATGTGTATCCTTAGTTAGCACTTAGGTGACTCTCTATGGCCTGTTATGAAAGGCTAAAAACCCACAGTTGATTTTGCTGATGACAAGAATCATATACTGAATCTGCCTAGCTCTGTGGCAGAAAATTGCTCCTCGGGGATCACAAGCCAGCCAAAGGTGACTCACTGGCCCACCATCCACTGGAGAAAGCAAACTTGGCCAGGCAAAGAGCAGAAGCATTATTCTTCCCAACCACATGACCTTGGGCAAGGCACTATCATAGCATCTTATCTCAATGTTGTATGCCCTTTACATGGCTAGGGGTTGGGGCATGGATAAGCACCTAGGGGAGAAAACTGAATTTTAAGTGAAGACCATGGAAGGAATTCAATCAAGATCATTAAGACTTTATCATTCCGAAAGTGGTATTTCAGAGTCTAGCTTGTGTGAAAGAACCTACCGCATGCACACTAAAAAGCTGTGTGCATCTCAAATAACATAGTTAGTTACACTGTGGGAGGCAGGGTGTATTTAAAAAAAAAAAACAGCCAAAAATTAACATCTTTACTACACAAAGCATATACAGGAAGAACAGTTACAACAAATACTTATGGGATGGATGGATGGATGGATGGATGGATGGATGGATGGATGGATGGATGGATGGGAAAATGAATGAACAAACGCACAAAACTTCAAAAGAAATGCAGTCACACTTCACAAGGAAGAAGCAGAAGGCACGCTGGAACCTTTAAACACAATGATAACTACCACCTTCCCACAGTTTTGTTCCTAGTAAAAGCCATGTTGAGTGTGGAAATCAGCCATGTGCCAAAGCTTCAGGTTATGGATTCAGAAGCTAATTTGACCCTACAAAAAACCCTGACTAGTGGTCTTACTATCTGGCCTAAATTCCTATTCCAGAATTGTACCCTATAGGCGGGCTCTCCAGTGCACATAGACATGTGTTGTGAAGGTGTCCTCCAGGGCACAGTGGTAAATAGGAAGGGGTGGGCACTCTCTGGACACTGAATCACTAAGGGGTGATGAGGTTCTCACCGTTATTATTCCATCATAACTGTGATGGAATGACGGTGCCATTTGAATACATATTTGTGAGCTACTTTAAATGGCTTAGAAAGCAGGAGAGAAACACAGCAGGATAACTAAGCCAAAAAAGAATAGACATGGGAGAAACTAGGAGGAAACAAAGCAAGCATTATAGCTTGTTTCCTTTGAGGGGAGGGGCACTTCCTCCTGGGGTTTGAGGCTTTCTGCAGTGAGCATGTGTGGTGCTCCATCTTGAACACGCAAAGGCATGCATGTGTACATACATGCAGACGCAGACTGACCCACACACATGCTTCCAAATAAAGCAACACACCAATGTACAGTTTCTGATATGGGTGCTGGGTGCTGGGACAAGATGTGAGCACAAGGACACTGCCATGTCTACCTTTTCACACAGGGCAAGCACAGTTCCCGCTTGGATTACTGCAACCTGCTCTTCATTCCTCAAATTCTACAACACAAAAATGGGCAAGGGCATTGACACTGGGTTCCGAGTCTATGGCAAACAGCGTCAAGCCCCTCTGGGGTGCACCCCAACGATCAGCCCCCACTCAACAACAGGGGTCAGCCATCTGAGGCAAAGAACCCCAGTTCCTCTAGGTGGGGACAGTTCATAGAGTGGCACCAAAGTTTGGGGACATAGTGCTTCATTAAAGACAATCTTTATGGAAGATCACCTTTTGACTTTGGCAATCTTGAGTAGTGGGACCTTCTTTCTGTGTATCAATTAATCTTTAGGCTTATTGGTCCCCTGTTCATTCACAGATTGTAAGACTGTCCTCACTTCGGAGCCCCACTCTGACAAATACAGACCCAACCACCCACATGGGAACACGGCTATAAAAGCCTTCCATTGTACTTCTCAGATCTCTTAAATCAAAGAGATATTAGAAACAAAACAAAGTCACACAGAACACCCCGATCAAAACAAGAACATGAACCAGAAACCGATCGCTCATAGTTACCCCGTTATCGCCAAGGATATCTAAGTTCTTCATAAGTTCAGAGATATTCACACCCTGGAAAAGATTTCCAACGTTCATTCTCATGTGAGCCATAGACACAATCCACACCTATTCTAGAGCCATGGCTCACATGCCTCCTTCAGCTCTGATGCCACAGTGGGGGACCCAGCCTATGGCTCTGCTGAGGCAGGTGGGGAAGGCGTAGCAGCTATGGTTCATTTACTGAGATTCACTCTGGTACAACCCTGCTTTCTAGGCTCATGGGAATCTGAGGATTCTGCCTGTGGGGTCTAGTGGGGCTCCAGGCCTGTGGCCCACCAGAGTCACCATCAGCAAAACCCTTGTTATGGGCTGGGCATTGTGCAAAAAAGAGACAGCCAGTTGCTAGTTTGGGTTTGTAGTCTGCCTGTAAGTGGGCAGAAGTAAAGGGTGACACTTGGTGACCCTTTCAACTAGCTCTCTTGTCTTTCAACACAGCTGCATAAGGCTCTGTCCCTGACCTGAGGATACAATCCCTCTTTACCACCACACCAGGCACTCAGCCCGCCCCTGAATGGCAGGTCCATGTGGGCATATCCCAACCCCCAAGCATGCTACCTTTACTCCTTCCTGGTGACAGAACAGCTGGAGAGCGCTGCTGTTGTTCTCGGGGAAGGTGGTGATTTGGAGGTTAAAGGCTGGCGACCTCCGCTCTCTCTCCTGGGGAAAAGACGTGGTTTAAAGACAGAACTCGACTGTGCTATTCACCACTTGCCATTTTCCCAAGTTATCAGCAAAAACCAACATATTCCAGTTGGCTAAGGTAGAACTACACAGCACACATCTTGACCACACAGTCCTAGTATGGGACACGTGGTGTCTTCTTGTCTTTCCAGGTCTAATGGCCTCTTTGCACACTTCACTTCTCGCCTACTGCTGGGGAGAAACAGGTAATAGGGTCTCACAGGTCTGTCTGTTGCAATCCAAACCCCAGAAGTTACAAACATGAAGCTTGATCAAAACAATGTATCCAATTCAATAGAGATCAGAAGCCAGCCACCATGGTGGGTTATTCTAGGCTGGTACATCATTATCCCATCTGATGTTTAGGCTACCTCACAGAGCATATACCTGTGGAGGCTTGGGAAAGCTGAGTCTCCGGTCCCCTGCTATTGAGAGGCAGAGCTGGGCCTGCTTCTGACCTTTTTTGCATCCCACAATGGGCGACTCAGCTCCCAGACTTTTTTCATTTTGTTTTGTTTCTTTGATTCACACAAACAAGATTCATGCTCACTCTCCAGCCCCCTGCCTCAGACTTATGATCAGATGTCCCAGAAGAGACATTCATCAGCCATACACTGTGTGAGCACTTTGTAAAAGACCTAAGGGAACCTCATTGCTTAGAGGGATTACAGCATGTTGGCAGAATGGTACCCTGGTGTCCAGCACATGTTCTACATGGAGCTGGCTTTAAGTGGTTGACACTGGCAGATGAGCCATGACAAGTTAGCACAGAAAACCTCAAATTTTGCCTCAAATGAAGCTATTGTGGAGTGGGGAGGAGCTGAAATTAAGTAATAAGAATTTACAGACCTAGGACACCTTCATAATCCAACCAAGAGAAGCAATGGAGATAGGTGTGAACCTAGAAAAAGCATGCCTTAACACACTGCTCCTGTGTGAGTGAGGCTTGAGGGAGGGGCAGGAGCTGCTCAATGAGTTTCCAGGAAGGCTCCAGCTGGCTCGCCTCACTTTGCACCGCTCTATGAGCTGAGAAAGTTACAACCCCATTTACATCCCCACACACCTGCCACCAGAGTTGCTTATTCTGTAGGCTTTTCATAGAAAAGGGGGGGTCAGGACAGCCCATATTTTGTATGAACAAGTCATAAAACTGCTTCCTAGTGGTTCTGAAGGCTGTTGGAAAGATCTAGGAAAGCATGTGGTATCTGGAATTCTCAGGGGAAAGGGTCACAGCGAAGGACTTGCGGAAGGAATTCTCACAGTGGTGGGGTACTAAGCATGGCCTCATAACTTCCAATTTCTGCTGAACAAAAAAGACTAGAGCCGAGGGACACAGTAATACTGAAAGGTGAAAACTCCCCTCAGCCCATACTTGCCAGCTGGACAAGGCTTGGGGTCACAGACAGAGCTTCCACCAAAAAGGAGGGAAAACAAAACCAGAGAAGCCACAGACAAGTGAGGGCACCCACGTGGATGGAGAGGAGTCACACATGCAAAGGTGTCAGCTGAAGAAGCAGTGCAGTGTCACAAGTGGAGGCGCGTCACAGATGGAAAGATGTTTAAGATGCTGGTGACTTTCAAACAGAAACAGAGGGGGAGGATGGAGGGCCAGGAGAGCCAAGCAATACTGTAACACATGATGCAGGATTTCAGCTGGAAACAGCAAATTCCTCAGTGTTCCCTCAGAGTCCTACTCACTGCCCTGTGGAGTTCCCAGAGGAACAAGGTTTCTATAAGTGCAGTGTCTGGGAGTTTGCAGTTGCAATTTGAATCACAAATAATTTTAGTTCAAATGGCTGCAGAGCCCAGGTCTGTATTTACTGCCAGAAGGGTTTGAGTGAAGTAGTGGGTTAACACCTGTGTAAATACATCCTCCTGCCTGCCTCCACTTACCTTTGTTCGCTTTGGCAGGCAGAAAATGGACCCACACTGCTATTAAACACAGCAGGGATCAAGAGGCGGCTGGGTCAGACCCTGCTATCGCAGGAGAGACCTGCTGCATGCAAGATCAAAGGTGTGTTCTCCATTGCAACAGTGCTGCTGTCTGGGGCTGCAGAAGGCACACCCAGTGACTGTGCATGCAGGAAAGTAGTTATGGAAATGAAACACAAATAAAAAAGGCAAAATATTGCAAAAACAACTTATTTTATTAAGTGCAAAACAAGCGGTAGGCAATAAATAGATTGCTCTGGTACAGGTCCACAGACGTCGCCAGCATCCTCCCCGGGACACATTAAGGCAGTGAAGTTATCCCGAACATACAGATTTTTAAAAAGAAGAAGAAAAGAACGGAGGAAGGAAGGAGAGAAACGTTAACACGTCCCTTCACGCATGCTTGGAAATGGCAGGGAGCTTTACATAAATTTCAGTTTGGGCTCAAAGAGAATGTCTGCTCCGTTTGGGAGCTTACAACAGAGAGAGTCTCTTACTTCGAGTTCTAGCACTCTGAATTCTAACAGCTCGTTCTGGTCCTTGGCGTCTTGCATTTCACTCTTTAGTTGGTTCTCCTCCATCTCCAGCCTGTAAATCTGGGGCAAAGACACCTTTACATGAATGGCCTTCGTGGTTGCCCCATGTCCCAGGGATCCCCTACTAGGAGCAAATTTTAGTGGGTAGCCTGAGAAAAATGGAGAACCAGCCACCAAGGGAAGAGACAGGGCTGGCCGCAAGTCCATTTTCTGGTGAGCCTGGGATGAGGGAGAAATGCTGGGCTGGCTTCACCACCTTAGCACCAAGCCTGGACCAGGGCACTAAAAGTTCTTTGTATTGTTGCTGAACAAATGAGTGATAGGGAACCGAGGCTTGGTGCTATCAAATCCCTCCCTGGGGTCAATGTGAGGGAAGCAAGAGTGCAATGTGGGTGTTTCAGTGCCCAGAGCCCTCCAGGCAACTTTCAAGCCAGGCCACGGCATCAGCTGTAGTCAGTGTTATGGCAGGTGCCGTGGGGGCTTTAGGTCTCTGAATCCCTACAAAGTTCTTAGGAGAACTCTGATACTCTGAGAGCACAGACTATAGCCTGGGAAAAGCTTCCAGTGCCCAAGACCAGCAGCCAGAGGGATGTAGATCACATCTGCCCTGACCCTCAGTTTCCACCCAAGGAAGGTAACAGTGGTGTCTATAGCCAAGCACCAGTGAGGAGACACCAAGACAATATGTATTCTCCATCTTCCCATCAGATGACCAAAGAAGGGCTCTCTTGTGGGTGGTCTCAACATCAGGAGACACTGGGAAACACTTTTTCCTGTGTGGCTTGTGGAACTGAGGCCAGTACCACTAAAGGCTCCCTGACAAACAGGGCCCACTAAGCAACCAAGTTCAATCACACCTCAATGTCTGAAGGAGCACAAGCCAGGGAAGGCCACACAGCAGAGCTGGGCCAGACCCAGGGTGCCTTTGAGCTAAATGGGCCTGGCTAGCTTAGGCCTGGGCTTTCAGGATGCTGAAGACCCAGGGTCCACCCTAAGTTGTCTTCTGTTGGTATGGAGTGTACCGAGGGGTGAGTCTACTGATCACACAGATAAAATATACTGGGTGTTGGAGACAGGGAATAGGAATGACTGCAATAGATAGGGGGTGGGGAGGGGGGAGGCTCAAACCACTCTAAAGGGCACCAGGATCATAGTGGCACAACTTGGTACCGACTTTAACAATAACTGCACTGACCCAACCAAGCAAGAAAAGCTAATCTCAATGCCAAAGCACATTCAAACAGACTCCCTTGGGGCTTCAGGGAGGCCTATGGTGAGAGGACAAGGAATGCAGGCTTCCAAATCAAGAGCTGACCCAGCTGAGGGGGCCCGAGGGCCTGCCATGGACTGTGTCTACCTCAGGTGCTTCCAAGAGGAACAGGACTACTCTGGATCCCAAATCACAGTAGAGGGAGCCGGGAAGCCTGATGCAGGTGTGACAGACAGCCTTTCCTGTTTCTGGAGACACTCTAAAGGTCCTAAGACCTGTCCCAGAGGACAGACCCTGAGTCTGGCCCTGACTGCAGTGGGGAAAGCCCCTCTCCTATGAGAACCACAGAGTCATGGGACTCTGGTATGGTGGTATACTGAGAGTTCAGGGCAGGTTGGTGGCCTCTGTGGTTCAGTTCATTATGAGGCCTGAGGCTCTGACCCAAACATACCTTCTCCAGCAGATCCTGGTTTGTCCTCATGAGTACCTGTTTCTCCTCTACCCATGCAGAGTCCTGCAGGAAATATAGGGGGTTTATTCATTGGTCTCAGTGATGCTGGGCCACCAATCCCCAAGGAAAAAAAGGTCACAGACATAGACAGAAGCTTTGTGGCTTCATTGTCCCTCTAAACCTTTACTCCCAGGCAAAAGCAACAGCATGTTTGTGAGGAGTCCTTCTTCCCTAGCTCTTTCCCCATAGGCTCTAGGTCCCCTGAACTCTTAGAGGACACTGCCCCATGGTGTTTTTCCACTACCCCACTGGTGCTTTGCTCAATTCCACTCACATGCAGTCTGTTAGAACACAGCACAGCCTGTTTGGGCCCTGACACCATGGCATTCTCAGTGCTAGGCCAGAGCCCAAACACTGGCTGACCCTCATCAGCACCAGGTTGTAGGAGGAAGAGTCCAGGAGGAAAGGGAGCCTTCACCAGCCCCTCATTCTGACTCTGCTCAGCCACTGATTGGGCCAAGGTCTGTCCCCTCTACTCTGCCTCCCTATCCCCACCCCACAGGGGCCAGGCCAGCCTCACTCAGAGCTGGAATTCCACAATGTTCACAAACCAATGGTGACCTAGGATCTGACCAGCAGGTGTGAAAATCCTGAAGACATTAGAGTCACCTCCTGGGGACCTTTTACCTAACACCCTACTAACACCCTACAGATTTGCACATATGTTCCTGTGGCTGTGAGTCCTGAGAGGACAGTGCTGTGTCTACATTCCTCTCTGTGGCAGTCTGCTCATATGGATGGCTGCAACCTTTGCCCCATACTGGTGTATACAACTTTGCAGTTTCTCTCATCCTCCAAAGGGATGGAGTTTGTTACTCCAACCTTTACACCAGACTACCAGATAAAGAAGCAAGACTCAAGGAGGGGTAAACAGACTACAAATGGCAAGTGACCCACCTGACCCCTGAATCCCAGGAGAGACCAACAGAACAACCATTTGCAGAACCCAGTCCAGAGCACCAATCCACGGATCTCAGAGAAAATCAAACCAGCTATTTTAATCAGGTAAGTTTTGGGGTGGTTTGTTACACACCAATAGCTAACTGATGAATTAGCAGAGCCTGGTACAGGGGCAAGGGCTCTAGTAAACACTTGCTGAATGAATCACAATTTGTTTTGTACTAAACCGGCCCCTTCCTTCTACACGCACACACACACACACACACACACACAATCTAGCATGGGTGGCAACATCAGACACAGATGTCCTAAACTGGCCCCTTCTTTTTACACACACACACACACACACACAGGGGAGAGCAGGAGGGAGGGAGGGAGGGAGGGAGAGAGAGTATCTAGCATGGGAGGTGACATCAGACACAGCCCATGATCCAGCAATTTACAAACACATGAGCTCAGCATAGAAGAGGGAAGCTGAGGCCATGGAAAGTTAGAATGGGAGCTTGGGAGAGCCTCATCATCTCCGATTGGCTCTCTGCTAGCCCACTCCTGGGTCTCCCACCCTCTCATTTTGTAGGTGAGGGAACTGAGGCTCAGATGCTATACAATGTGTCTAAAGTCACACAAGCAAGGGGCAGAACCAGTGCTCAACTCCAGGCTGCATTCTCTGTGCCTTTCCTGCCTACAGGGTGCCAGCAAGGCTGCGACTCCCAGCACCCACACCTGGGGGTTGGGTGGCCACACTCTTCTCACTTGGTCCTTTCATGAAGGTCAGTGCAGTAGCTTCTGGGGAGCATATATAGACAGACTGAGTTCACTGGCACTTGCAGTTCTCAGCCCTCCCCACAACATCCCCACTGGGGTTGGGTTGGTCAGAGTGGGCATACAGCCAGCAGTAGCCCCAGCCTCAGAACTTCTTCCAATACCTTTCCTTCTCACTAGCCTCCCCCACTCTCACTGACTCCCCCTCAACCCTAGACTCTCCCCTTAGGCCTCTCCACACCTACTTAGATCCTGACTGAGGTAGGAGCAAAGACCCTATAGACACCCGTGCCTGTGCACATGCCTCAGCATTTCATAGGCCAGTGGAGCCATGTGACTGCTTTGGGCCAGTAAACTATGCTGAGGCAGTGACAGTCACCCCAACCTGTTAATAGGACATGAGTTCTAAGTAGAGCTTTTCCAAGATGGTGCCTCCAGCCCTGGGTCCCCAGGGAACCCTGTAAAGTAATGACTTTCTGCCCACAACAGACAGCAGCAAGAAAGGCCTAGGGGCCGCCTCCCTGTCCTGCTGTCCACTAGGCCTAGCCTAATCAAATTAGAGAGGGCGTCCACAAAAGTGACCAATCTATGCTCTCCTGTGGCACAGTTACAGCCTGAGCCTGTTGCTATGGGCTTTGCCAAGTGGTCCATATCACTTCAATTATACATAGGCGATCAAAATCTTGACAGAAAACAGCAGCTTTTCTTTGGGATCCAGTCAAAAGAGCTCCTGGCCATGTCTCAGCTCTATGAGTTACCTTCTGTCCCCATGCATTTGGCAAATAAAGAAAAACCAGGCAGGCTTGCATGGCATCCTATGACTGTGGAAATACGGTCTCTCCTTGGGTCACAGCAATTCTTCCGCAGAACCTCTCCCTACCTTCAGCACACCAAAGATGTCATCAGACCCCAAGGACAACATGGGGACAGAATCATCAGGGGCATGGAGTGCATGGCCTTCCTGCTTACCTGTCCCTTCTCAACAAGCAGCTTCTCCAAGTCCTCAATTTTGGCCTGGCACCTCAGCAGGTCAGCCTGAAGCTGCTCTCGAGTCTGGAAGGAAAAAGACCAGGAAGTGAGCAAGTCACTTACAGAGGTGACACACAGAGGTAAAGAGTCCAGGCTGCCAACCAGACAGGGCCTGGACACCACGTGACTTTAGGGTTAGGAGGGTCCTGTTGCACATGAGCTCACATCATGCCTGCTTGAGGGCTGTGAAATCCATCTACAGCTGCATCGTCAAGCGAGAACTAAGGGGTCACAGGAGGTGATAGCTCTAACTCCCCCAGTTCTAGACAATCAAGGGGCAGCTTGGAGGATGAGCCACCCTCTTCCAGTATAAGCTCGACAAAACTGGAAGCTGCAGGGTCCCAAGGCCAGCTCTGACAAGGTCATTGTTTGCTCATTCAGCAGGCATCCAGCTGCTGACAGTTGTTCTGCTTGCTTGGTGGCCTTGTGGGGTTCTCTGTCACCTACAGCAAAGACTGGAGCCTAACACCTCATGGACCAGGCAAGTCATATACACAAAGGAAGTCATTCATCAGTTGACCCCACAGCAAGAAGAATCAGCAGACACTGTGGGCAAGTGCAGACAAAGCCTGGGAGGCACAGCCATGAGCTGCCACAGGGAAGGAGAAGACCCAGATGTGACCTCCTTTCCAGAATCCAAGCTAGGTATATTGTCACAGCCCTACAACCCTTGCCCTCAGGAAGTGTATCAGAAATTCAAGGCCATCTGGAGAATCAGGAATCTACTTCTTTTTCTGTTCTTTTCTTTTTAAAATTTGAAACTAGGTCTCACTCTATAGCCCAGGCTAGCCTAGAACTCACTATGTAGCCCCAGCTGGCCTCCAAGTAATAGCAATACTCCTGTTTTAGCATCCAAGCGCCAAAATTACAGGTGTATGCCACCACACCCAACATGTATTATGAAATCTCCACTAACTTGGCTAGTGGATGATGTTAAAAGACAAAGAAATTGAGCACGCATAAAGCCTAGAAGTTCACCTGTTGTGTCCCAAGAAAGAAAAACTGCTCTTTCATGTGGCAGAAGTAGCCACATTTCCCAGGGATCTTGTTTCCTGCATGCCTGTTCCCCTTCCTGCCACCCAGATTTGCTACCACCCTGAGCCCTGAGTGCCAGCTTTCTGGAGACGGTGGCTGTTGCCTTCCCCTGCCATATTCCTGAGATCTGCAAACCACAGTGTTATATGTGCTCTCAGATACCCAAGCCCTCTCTGCATGGGGCTCCCAAGGCTTTTCCAGAGCATTCTTGAACCATGGTGGCATGGTCCCAGCTCCCAGTTCTGTTGGGGACCATCTGGGCATCTTCAGTCAACTTGATGCCTTCCTGAGGCTCAATTTCCTTCTTCAGGACATGGGACAGATTCATCCTGACTCAGAACTATGGGTATAAGATGGGAGACACAGGACAGCACTAGCCCCAAGTGTGTGCTCCCTGGTGTCTCCAGAACCCCATGAAGACATACAAATATTGTTGTGTGACTCCAAAGTTAGAGAAGGGTCAGTGGGAGGAAGTTCCCAGAAAAGTTCAGCTCAGCACCCTAGATGTATCTCCTAAACTGAGGTCACCTGCAGTGCCTATCCCTGGGGTGCTCCAATAACCCCTGAAAGTGTTCCTTGACCTTGGTTCTGCAGGGAGAAAGAAAGGACTGAAGCCTGAAAGGCTAAGTCTATAACTTCCTCACTCCCTAAAATTCCATTCTATTTTATATTATTGTGTGTGTGGAGAAAGAATCAGTTCTCTCTTTCTATCGTGTGGGTTCAGAGCCTGAGATCACCAGACTCAGCAGCAAGCCCCTTTACTGTTTAGCCATGTATCTACCCCGACCCCTTCAATTCTGTAAGTGTTCTCTCTTGCAAACAGAAGCCAGATGAGGAGTGAAGGTGTAGTGTCACCTCCATCAGATCAAGATTCCAGGTCCCCTCCCAGTCTCTATGCTTCCTCCCATTAACAAAGAGACACACTTACCCGGGCCTCCCTCTCAGCATCCAGTGTCCCCCCCACTTGCTCCTGAAGCAGGGCATAAGCCCTCTGCAGGGCCTGATACTCCCTGGTCAGCTGGCAGAATCTCAGGTCAGCTTCTTCTCTGGTTGTGGTCTTAAGGAAACAACAACAAAAAAACAAACAAACAAAAGAAAACCAGACAAAAACCAGTCAACTCATGACTTGGTGTGACTTCAAGAGACAGAATCAAGACAGTAGTTAAGTGCTCACATCTCTCCCCATTGTCTACAAATGCCCAGTGAGCTGGTCATGCCAGGGAGTAATCAGGCCCCAGAGTGAAGGCTACTGAGAGAAAATGCCTTCTCCACTTCAGCACCCGACCCTGAGCACTCACAGGCCTCCTGGGAGCCATCCTGACTCCACAGTCAAGGTTCACATTGAGAAGGGTGTCCCTCTGGCCACATGTCTTTCTGAGAGTTTCTGTTCTGGAGACAGACACCTGCATGTGACAGTCCAAATGCAGTGGAGCACTTGTGTGTGAAGCCCTCTGTGGTCACAAGAGGATGATGCAGGGTGACTGATGTAGCAAGTCACTGTTGCAGCTATCATGGCAGCTTGTAAAAACCAGACAAGCTGGAGCAAAACCTTGGCAAGACACCCAGGCAGGACATGGCACCCATGGCATTTCCAACATGGGTAGGCCCCTCTAGAAGCAACTAAATTTGAGGATGACTGGGAGGAAGGTGCATCTTCCTGAGGTTCCTGATGTCATGCAAAAAGGAACTCCACAAAAACAGCCAACAGGAGTTTGAACGGACCCTAAAGCCATTCAACTATGGGTCTGTGAGAGGTGGCTGCCCAAAGAGCTGGGACAAGGAGATGCAGGGTGGGCAATGTCTAGACTCATTCAGGAAGCTGCAGGGAGCCTTCCCATAGGGCACATGTGACACCAGAAAGCTCCGCCAGCACCTGCCACAACCAGATGGCATCACCATGGGGCCAGCGCATACCCTTCCCACCAGGGCTCAGGAGACAGCCACTGAAGGGTGCAGGGAGGACAGGCAGAGTAAACCTGATGTGGGATACAGCACCAGACAAAGTCTGTACTGAATAATGCATGGAATTTAGCAAAGTCACCACATGTGACCACTTCTGCTACCTATGTGTGTGGGGATAAGAAACAAGCCACATGTAAGTTTAACTGCAGTGGTGAATACAGGGTCAGCATCTGGGTGTGTTCTTAGCAGTCTTAAGTCTCAAGGGAAATGGGCTCTGGGAAAGGGGCTTGTTGGGTCCCCACAAGGCAGAGTGAACCAGCTTTTCTTTCTGGGGCGGGGCTCTGATAAGACACAGCAGGACTGACCACTGGAGAGGGAGCCAGCCCTGGCCAACAGGAAGGTGGGAAGTCCCTAGAACATTGCCGTTTGCTTACCTCATCTAAGTCCTCTTCAGGTGTGGCTGGGGTCCGGTCTGTCCTGTCGGTGTTGTAGGATGTCTCTGACAATGTTTCTGAATCCACGGACTCCTCGTCAAATCCAAAAAATGTCTCCACAACATGCTTCTGTGAGAGGCAACAAGCATGATGTCAGGAAGACAACAGCTGACTATCCACGACAGCACAGGGCAAAGGGGGTCTAGGACAGCTGGTGCAGGACAGAGGGAGCCACTAGGGCAGCTGAAGATGTGGTTAGTGTAATAGTAACAAGGTGGCAGGAGGTGTCACAGGTAGAGAGGGCTATGTAGCTCCTGAGGAGTTGTCCTAGGAGAGCCCTAGGTCCCTCCTGACAATGGATGAACTGCCACCCTTCCAGCAGGAAAGGGGACCTCATTAATTCTGTGGCTAGCTAAGTGCCAACACCCAGAGCATTCTTAGAGCTAAGTGAGATGCCTGTCCCCAAAGAGGGCACTGATACATGGGATGCCGGGAAAGGGGCATGTGATCAGGAGATCTGAATGTTGACCCCAGGGCTAAGCTGGGAAGCAGCTGCATGGCCCACGTCCTTCCCAGGCCTGCCTAAGAGGCAATTTTTCTTAGCCTTTGATGACAGCACACTCAGAACAGAATCAGAAAGAATAGTGCAAGGGTCCTGCAGTCATAACCTCAGACTCGACAGTTTCTATGTCCAGTGTGTCAACTACCTGAAACTCTGGCCACACCTCTCTCACTCCAAACTGCACAGAATGCAGGAATTCATTCATTCATTTACTCATTCAGTAATCCCTGGCTGAGAAGCTTCTGTGAGCCTAGAGATACATGATTAAAACCAGGTGGGCCACCTGCCAGGGTGTGCTCGCCCCAGAGGGCTACCTCCATGAACCATCAATTTCCACACATATCCTGTTCCTGGCTCTAGATACACTGCTTTTTATTTTCTTCCTAAACAGCTCTCTTGGAGAGACTACCTCACCTTCACAGAAGTGCTTTCTATGACTATGCAAGAACATGACCACTATGCTGTGGTCAGCTCCAGGCTCCCAGGAACTCCCAGACTGAGTTCCACACCTCTCCCCAGCCCACAGAGTAGGCAGGATGCACCCCACACCCAGTGGGCATCTCCCTCCCACACTGTAGGTTGAAGCCGATTTTACAATCACAAATATGAGAATATGGAGGTTCCAGTCAGCAGTAACAAGGCCACAAAGAAATACCTTTGACATGCAGAGAAGGGACAGGGAGGGACTTCTCAGTCACCTTACACAGTTGGGGTTTCCACAGAGGCTTTACAAGTCACCTACCACCACTCCCCACCAGAATGTTCTCCAAGTGGTTTGGGGTTTGTGTGGGACCTCTTTGAAGGTTCACATGGCCAGCATCTGCTGGGTATCCACCTGCCTCCATGCCTAGGTGAGATGGAAGGTCAGGCAGTGAAACCAGGTTAGGTTCCATTCAGTCCAAGTGGCCTTCAGCATCCTCCCCTCCCCTCAGATAGGAAGCCCCAGCCCCACAGGCATTGAAAACTCTAGGAAGCAATGGAGTCTGCGTCCACAGCTCACCTTTGCCCCAAGCTCCACATCCTTGCTGTCTTGGGCTGCTGCCTGGCCAACCTTATTTTTCATAAACACTGCTAATTGCCTGGCCTCTGGGGACAGATCTGTGTGTTGGCTGAGCTAACTGGTGGCCTGATGTAGTGATGTCTATGTTTTTCCTCCTACCAAGTGGGCCCCAGGAAGATCTTAAAATGACATACTTTCCAAGATCAGGACACAGTGTTTGTTAGCATTCTCGAAGTGTCTGGGGCTAGCAACCTTGCTCAGTTACCTAGGCTAACCTGCTTTGGGAGGCCAGTGAGACTGCTAATTAAGTATTCCATGACAGAGTCTAATCACAAGGTTTTAACTGCTAATGTTCCCAACTCACCAGCCCACGATCAGGCCAGAAGGAGCCTCATAGTAGCCCTTGCCCCAGAGACTGGGGCTGCAGAGAGCCATGCTGCACCAAGAAGCTACCTACAGGGTAGAAGCCAGCACAAGCCAGAGCCGCAATGAAATCCTGCATAATAGAAGTGAATCCCTAACTATGTATAGTCCATGCATTTCCACAGGAGCCAGCTGGGTTCCAGTGCCCATCAGGCTTTCAGGACACATGGGTGAGTCAGTTTGTCTTTTTTTTTTTTTTAAATAATGTCTCACATCGCCCAGGCTGGCCTTGAACTCCACTCCTCCTGCCCCCACCTCCCATACGGTGAGATTATAGGTGTGTGACCGAAGGCTGACAGAATGCCTGGAAAAGGTCCTTTGTCTAAGTGATGATATGACAGAGAAGCCAATAACAGCCAGCCCACCCAGTACAGCTTCATTAACACAAAACAGAAAAGCCACCTTGGTGTTTAAAGTGAACACAGTGGCTATCTCCTTAACGAGATAGCCAAAACTTACAAAACTTGTTCCTAGCTGACTCCTCCACACACAGGTGGCCACACCTGCCTCCAGAGGGTTCCTGCCACCAGGAGATGTTGCTGCCTGCATGCTGCTTGGTGGCCTGTGTTTCTCGATTCTAAACTTCCTGGATGTTTACCTCCTAAAACTCTTGAACAGAAAAGTTCCCACAATTCACAGATGCCAAGTGCACTGACATGAACAGGGCTCGCCCCTCTAGACATCCACCCTCTTTACAATGCAGATCAGTCTAGCCAAAATGTCATCTTTATGAACAAATCCAAAGTTTAGAATGTAGTTTGGGGGCTGGGGGGTGTCGTTCAGTTGGTAGAGTGATTATGTAGCATGCATGCAGCTCTGGGTCGGATCTCCAGCACAGTGTGGTATGGTGTTCGTGGCTGTGGGCTGCACTAAACACATAGTACATGATAGAAGTAGAGACCAGAGGCTCAGAAATTCAAGATCCTCTTGGATACATGGTTAAGTTTGAGGCCAGCCTCAACGAGCTACATGAGACCTGTGTGTGTGTGTGTGTGTGTGTGTGTGTGTGTGTGTGTGTAATTTTCACCAAAATGTCTTATGACCAAATGTATCTTCTACACACACACACAAGCTCATGTGTGGCATGAACACACACACACACACACACACACACACACACACACACACACTAACCCTTCCACAGAACCCAGCATCTCATCAGCTCCTCTCTTCACCTTCCCAGCATCCAGCCAGAATTGCCTGGAAGATACAGGATCTTCCAATGGCAACCAGGAAGGAACTGCCAAAGACCCTCCCCACCCCAACCAGCTGCATACCTTCATGCTTATAGGTCATCTCCTGGCAGCCAGAGAAGTATAGGCACACGAGGGCACAGAGGCAGAGGAAGAAGGAGAAATAAAGCACAAACAGGATATACTCCATTGTGGGGCTGGTGCAGGCACTGCTAGCCTGTGCGGGCTGGATAGTCCATCCCCAGCTTCTCTCTAGCCCCAAGAAAAGGCGCTCCTCACAGCTTCCTGAATACTGCTGCAGAAGCTGGAGGACAGGGACGCCCCAAAGGTGCCCCCTTGGCAACAGCGAGGCTACCTTGGATCAGCTCCCGGATGCTGGTGACAGAGCTATCAATGGAGAAAAGCCAGTTTCCAGGCCAGCCCCAGGCGCTCATCATAGACCACAGCTTCTAAAGCAACATGTCCTCTGGGGATTTCCCTCTTAGGACCCAGCCTCCATTATGCCTATAACTATTGTCAACAGTTTCAGGTCCCTGGATAACTGCAAAGCTCCTGGGCACGGTAGTAGCAACGGTATCATGATGAGAGGAGCCTTCTTCTTTGTGCTAAAGCCACAAAGGTCAGGGTACCTCCTCCCTTACCTGCCTGGGATATCTTCCAGCTAATCCACCACCACCCATGGATGTCCTGGGCACACTCAGCCCACTGTTGTCTCTAAAGTGTGCCTTTCAGAGTTTATTTGCCTTAGCGCTTACACAGCCTGCAACAAACCACTATGGGGGTGGGGAGCTGTGACTCCTGAGCTATATGGCAGTCATAGGTCCCCTTGCCTAGACAGAGATCTGGGGTTGGATATAGGCACGCAGCAGCCCTTACAGAAGTGTCAGTAGGACAGGAGAAACAGCTACTCCTCTCCCACACAAGGGCCAAAGACCAGCCCTGCAGACAGGTTGGGCATAAAATGTATGACTGTATGATGTAGTCACTGCTCTGAACCTCTGGGCTTGTGGGGTACTGTGCTGGCAGCTGTGAGTCACTGGACACATGGGACATGGCGAAGCCACACATGCTCCTGGGGCAACAGCTGGGAAGGACTGCCTAGGAACGCGCTCAACTGCAAACAACCATGGGGATAAAAGGACCTTTAGCTGCTGAGAAGCAAAAAATCACACTGAAAAACAGTGGGTGTCCCAGGCAGGAAGTCACTCCACAGCAGCTCCTGCTCCAAAGAGGTCACCATGCCTCTGGTCCTGCCTTCCACAAGCAGCAGATTTAGCCTCTAGGCACTGGCTTGGGTTTGGAATGACTGCTAGGTGTGCTGTGAGAGTGGACTCAGGAACCATTAGCCAGAAGGATCAGCCAGACAGCAGGCATGCACTGCTTACTGTCAGCAGTAAGGCAAGGTCCCTAGAAAGGAGAGGACTCGGACTGACACATGGGCAAGCAGACTCCACAGCCTTTCTGGGTGGACAACACCTCAGAAGACTGACACTGGCTCAAAGGCTGGGCTGTGGATTAGAAGGGCCTGAGCATCTGAATTTGGTAGACCAACCATAATAACCCAGTTAGCTTCAGCTATCAAAACCTGACACAGTCTAAAGTCATCTGAGGGAGCCCCAATTGAAGCACTGCCTTGAGAGGATTAGCCTGCAGCCATGTCTGTGAGGGACTGTCTTGTTGACTGATGCAGGAATCTGGGATGAAAGTCAGCCTCCACTGAATCTAGAGAAAAAGAGATGTTGGTGGCCCAGGAGACAGCAAGTGGGAAAACACCTACCACGGGCTGAGGATGCAGACAGACTGCTAAAGTGCCCAGCATGCACAAAGGCTGGGTCCAGTCCCTGACACTACATAAAACTAGGCTTGGTGGAGCACACCTGTAACCCAGCACTCAGGAAGTGGGGGCAGGGTGATTCTCAGCTATCCCAAGAGGTCAAGATCAAACCCAGCTCTAAAAGATCCCATCTTTAAGAAAAAAAGAAAATCCACACTGGTTTCCCAAACCCAACCTTTTAGTGTTTTCACTATGTACTCACACACCCCTGCTTCTCTGAGGCAGGCCATTCCTGCAAATGCATTTTCTCAGGAAAGGCAGTGTACCTAGTCAGTCAGCCACTCTTCAGAAGCACCTACTCTGTGCTGGATAGGGAAACAGGATGGTCGGGGCGGGGCACAAGCCACTGTGCCTGCTACACACAGGTGCAGTGCATCCTGACTCACCACCAGTGCACTGTGAATTTCTCTCTCAACAGATTTAGGGGGCAGTGGGAGATTTGGACTCTTTGATTGCCAGCATACAAGCAGAGGTCTGGCACTCCTATCTGAGATGCTTGGGGACACAAGTCTAAGTTCTTCTGACGGCAGAAATTTTTATAAACTTTATCTGTTAAGTATCTCTAATCTAAATCCAGAATCTAAATTTTTGGAGTTGATGCTAAAAACATTTTAAATTTCAAAAGTAGGGTTTGGGATCAAGGCTTCGCAGCCTATGTAGGCTTGAAACAATCATACCTCAGCAATGACTTTCTGGGGAACCTTGAATAGCGGAGTTTTTAGTGTCAAGACTGTTCAATCAACCACCCCGCCACCCACACTCAGTATCTTAACTTCGGTGTCAGGGTGGAACTTGGCTCACTTGCCCTATGCACAGGTTTGCAAACCGACATGATCTTGCCAGCAGCAGGGGGCGCTTTCTCCCCATTAAGTTCCAAACACTGAGACACCCCCCCCCCTCCACACCCCATCAGCCAGAATCATCCAGACTTTTCATAGTATAGGGCTTTACTTCAGTGACATCTACAGAAGCAAATGTACTTCCAGAAGGGAAAATGGCAGGCAAACAGCTCTACCAATGACAATGTGCAGCAGTCAGTGGAACAAGCAGAAAGCTGTAGTGTAAAGTCATCGTGAGGCAGAAACAGGTACTGCAGCGTTATTCCTAACCACAGGAGGGAGAAGGAGAGCTCACAACTGCACAACACTGCACAGGCTTATGGTCCACACACTTAGCAGACTAGACGGCTGTAAACATTTATCTGATGAAGATTTCTAGTGTAATGTTTGTGAGAACGTAGTGAAGTCCCAGCTTAGCGTAGGACGAACACTGGCCCTGGAAAGGTGCCATGGGTCCATCACTTTTTATTTCCCAGCTTTTCTAGAATGTGGCAAACACCGCTGGGAATATAAACAAGGTGTGCTGGACCACTTCCCCAATCCTTTTTTCTGTTTGTTTGTTTGGTTTGTTTTAGAAAGGGTTTATTTGTCTGAGCTGACTTGAAATTTGCTGTGTAAACCAAGCTGGCCTCAAACTACCTCCCTCTGCCTCCTAGAGTGCTGGATTAAAGATGTGCACCCCATGCCCAGCCTTCTGGGCTTCTGAGCTCAGCACAAACAAACCTCCCCTGACTCTGCTTAGCCCGCTGGAGACAGCCAGGGCCTGGAGTTCCAGTGAGTTGGAGGTTCAGCCTCATCAGCCCACTGCTCTCCTGTGAGCTGTCTCTACATCTGTCTCCTATAACCTAAAGTGATGGTCATCAAGCCTCTTGAATTATATGACAGTAACTTTCTGTCACTCTAAGGGACCTATTTTCAGGTACTTTGTTCAGATACTCCTAGAAAAATAGTATGTAAGGATTTACACATCCCTTACCTTTTTGCTTACAGAGTGTAGCCCAGGCTGGCCTCAAACTCACGAGCTAGCTGAGGCTACCTTTAAACTTTAGATCTTCCCACTGCTGCCTCTCCTTTGCTGGGGTCACAGGCATGCTCCACCATACTGAGATGAGGGCTTACACTTCCCTTGAAACAGTGGAACGCCTAACACCATTTGCCCACCTTGTACTATTCTGGGCCAGATTAGGCAGTCCCCACAACTCCCTGCTGTCACCCTGACTCCACCAGGAAGCATGTCATTGGCCATTTGCTATCACACTTACACAGTTTTTCTTACATGAAAGTATTTCTCTATAACATTCTCTCTATCAAAAAGTGAAGCTGGCAAGTGCCAGTTCAGGAAGTAGCAGACCCATCTCAGACAAGTGGGAAGGATGAGTGACACAAACCACGTACTTCTTCCAAACCTCCCCAGCCAGTTCTGTGCTTCCCCTGCCCAGAACTCCTAGACTGCCTCTGAGAGATAACACACTTACATTTTACAAAAAAGAACACCATTCTGTATCAGTCACAAAAGTTAATGAGTTCCTAGAGCATGCTGTTAGGTGGCATAAAACAAGGTTGGGTATCCTTTAAACCCTTCAGAAGGCCTAGGTATTCATGCTTTTAATTTTGGACGCACATAACCCAAGGTCCAAACACAGAATTCTATTAGTAAGTTTTCCATGAATAAATTACCATATCTGGGTCACATTACTTTGACATAATGCATGTAGCCTTGAAACAGCCATAAGAGTCTTTCTTTAACAGCCAACACAGCCATGTCACACACAGTCCTGTCTCTGCCTCTGGGTCAGTGAGTGGCCCTGTGACCCTCCCTCCTCTAAGGCACTATGGCAGGCTCACCTTTGGGGGCTTCAGGCTCTTCCCTCGATGCCTCTTGGAGCGCAGCAGGCGTTCTCTTTCCTTCAAGGAAGCACACCCACCCGTCAGCACTTGCAGCCAGACCCCCCACTCCACCAAACCACACAGTTAAGACTCAGAGGTTTGGAGCATGGACCTGCCTACCTCAACCTGTGTGGGCTAGTTCATATTCTAGGCACCCAACTGAGAGTCTATAAGACAAGACACTTACTCAGGCCCTTGTCTGGGTACATCCACTCTGATGGGTCATCCCGTCATTGGCAAAACCTGGATTATTCTTTGGGCCAAGAGGCCTAAGTAGTGGGGCCTCAGAGTGGTTCTGCTGGCCTCTCAGGGTCCACAGCAGTGTGAGATGCCTGTGGCTTTGAGTTTGGATAGAGACAGGGAGGAATCCCCCATAGTTCCTGCACTGGCCAGGAGACCACTTCATTTTCTGCAGTTGTTTCTTCCTTGCTGTGTGGGGCTAGAAGCTGTCCTGCAGCATTATTTAGTAGGTGTCCTCTACAGAAAGGGTCCCTGTGAGGTAGGAGTGGCAGTACTGGGGGTGGCACTGTACCCAGGTGGATCCAGGCCCTCTTGCTCTCAGCACAACGTATTTTCCCTCCCACAGGACAAAGCCTCAGTCTGACCATCCACCCATCAGATCCTGGCAGATTGGTCATTATGTTCCCTAGCACTGCTCTGGCTTGTCATTTTTCTTTTCACTCGCTGTCTCTTTATCAAATGTGTCTTGCCATCCTTAGCTATATTATGTTATCTGGATAATGAAGCCAAGATGGATGGCTATATGGTTAGTGGAAGGAAGAAAGGAAATGAGAGGGGGAAGAAGGGGGAGGGAGGAGAAGACAGAGAAAGGGCATTGCTTCTCATGGAACAGTTCCTAGGATATGATTATGTCTTCCCACCCTTCAAAGTCCTGTGATGGAACCTTCATACACACACAGGTCTCGTGAGTAAGCAGAGCCCACTCTGCCTCTGAGATCCAGCTAAGCCCACTGAGGGTGTGCCTGGCTGCACTGCTGGGCACTGTCTGCTGGGTAAGATACTCCCTCTCTACTGCAGACTCACTCCCCTCTTCTTTCAACATAACCAGCCCTGACCAGTCACAAAGCCCACACACAGCCTTATTAGCTGGTCCTTCAAACTCTGGTCTGATAACAAAGTTCAGATTTGCAACTCAAACTCCTGGTATGCAATAGCTAAATGCAAAAATAAGTATAAGTTAGCCGGGCATTGGTGGCACACACCTTTAATCCCAGCACTCAGGAGGCAGAGGCAGGAGGATCTCTATGAGTACGAGGCCAGCCTGGTCTCCAGAGTGAGTGCCAGGATAGGTTCCAAAGCTACACAGAAAAACCCTGTCTCGAAAAACCAAAAAAAAAAAAAGTATAAGTTAATAATAACTCAAAGGCCCCTCAGAACAGATCCATGCTGCCTCTTCACCATGGCAAGCTAGGAGCCCATTGAAAAGTGGGTTGTCATGGAAACTGTTCCCAGGTAGCACTGATCTCATTTCTACCAAGCTGAGGCTGCTTTCTGCACAGTATCACAGGGGACGGGGTACCTGAAGCTGGGCTGTCAGGGGCCACTCCCATCCTGATTCTCACTCTTGTCTCTGCCTCCTGTGGTGCCATCCTGGCAGAGAGTGACAACTTACCAGTGAGAGGTCATCGATGACATGCTGCTGCTCCAGCACCTGCAGCCTCAGGAACTCAATCTCCTGCTCGTCTCTGGTCAGACTGAGGTCGGTCAAGGACGTGTGTCGCTTTAGTGAGGCCTGAGCAGACAGCTTTTCTTTCTGCATCCAGAAGGAAAGAGGGTGTTACGGTGTGTGCCACAGTGTGAAGGACACATGGCCGTGGGGCTCCGGGATGGGGGTGACTGACAGTTGGTCCCAAGATGGGAAATGTACAACTGCAGGCTAAGGCCAAGCCAGAGGTGTGGCCAGTGGTGCTCACTGGAGGGGGGGTGGTGACAGAGCATGGGGCAGAGGATGTCGTGAGTGAATCTTGAGAACTGGAAGGCAAGACAAGCAAGCACAAGGGGCAGGGGCATCTCCCTAACCGCAGACTGCCCACACTCATACCTGGACCCCAGTCTTCTAAGCTGTGAAATGGGTACTCTAATCAATGAACCTGAAGGAATCTTACAACCACCCAAACAACACACACCAGCCATCCTTGATGGAGGGAAACCCCACCCCCATACACAGCCCCAACAATAGTAACTGCTCCCAGAGGAACCCATGAAGCTTGAGGCAGTCACAGGCCATAATCCATCCAGTGGGTAAGCCTGCCCTATTGATTCATCAAGGCCAGCAGGGGATTGATCTCACTGTTGAGGCGTCCTGGGGGTAGGGTATATGGAAATCATGGACCACAGAGTCTGGACAGGGGTGGGAAGCTGGTGGACTCTGTGGCTGGTCCTCACCATCTCCACGTTCTCCCTCGTGAGGGTCTTGAGTTTCTCCTCCATCCTCTGGATGCTGTGAAGCAGGTCCTCATTCTTCTTGTTCATACGCTTGTTCTTCTCCACCAGCGGCTTCAGCTGCACCTCTGTCTCCCGAGAGCGCTTCAGCTGCAGCAGGTACAGACACAGGTCAGGGAGCTGGATGGTCCCATGGGTGGCCAAGCTCCACCAGCAGAGCTTCAACATTGTCCCTTCGGGAGCATGACCCCTGGGGTCAATCCAGCCACCTAGTTTTTCCTGACCACTCTTAGGCCCTCACACCACACACATCACAAGGCAACTCCCTGCGGACAACTGCCCTGGGCAGAGCTGGGCCACCTCCTGAGCATGGAGGCAAGTACAGTTGTAGAGCCTGGAGGGACTTACCACAACCTCCAAGCAGACAGTCCCCACAAAAGGGGGTTGCCCTTCTAGGCTGTCATTTGTTCAGCCTCTGGGAACCCCTCTTGTGCCCCTTTTGGCCACCTGGTCTTCACCCTAGTTCCAACATCTTTGAGGCAGGAAAGCTTTGTGGTCAGATCCACCTTCTAAAACAATCTATGAGTCTAGTATGTGGTGTGAGGGCCAGAGCAGTGAATCAGAGACTGATGAGAGGTCATGGGGAGGGGGGCCATGATAGCGAAGAGGAGCAGAGTACTGCATCTATAAAAGTGAAGCAACAGCCGCAGCTGCTTCAGACTCAGTCAGCATCTGCTTTGCAAAGCTCTTTCAATGGACCAAAATTAGAACCAACTGTAATGTCCCCACGTCACCACCACAGAAGTGGCTGCCATGTCACCAAGTCCTCACCATGAACCTGAACTAGCTTTTACCCTCTCAGCTCTCTCACTGAGACCCACAACTACCCAGGAGGACCATGTCCCCATGCTATACACCAGAACATGGGCAGAGAGGTGGCGCTGCGGTCAATGAAGCCACAGTCACAGTACTAGAACCAGGAACCCAGCACAGAAGCTAACCCGAGCACCCACCCTCAATCCCTGTGAATGTTAAACACTCTGATGCCATGTGTCAGGTACCAAAGGCACCATGTGACCTGTGAGCCACCTGTGGAAATACACCCCTGCTCTCACCCCAGGAATGATGTCAACAGACCCTCATGAAAATAAGGGCACAGGGCTTCTTGGTATTATTTACTTAATTTACTATTTAAAGAAGCCAGGAGCAGCCTGAATGGTCAGAAGGCAGGCTGGTTAGCAAGTCATGACACTGTCACACCATGAGGTCCAAGCCTGAAAAGCCGACGTCTAATCAACAGGGAGGGCTATACTGATGGATCTAAGCAAAAAGGGCATGTTGCAGAGCATTAATACATAGGCAGGGGGAAAAAGAAAAAAATCCCACTTTGCAAGTGAAAAATCAAAGCAAACATCCTTTAAGATGTGGATTTTTTTTTTTATTAAAGTGAAATGTGTAGACACCCAGATCAGGAGTCAACACAGTGGGAAGTCCTGACTGCCTCGTCATTTCTACTTGAAACATGTTCAGGAAGCCTGTGTGTTTTGCTGCCCTACTCAGCAAATTACCACATGAGTGTTTATTCAGCTCATAATTATGTAAGCAAGAAATAGAAATGTCATAGGTGTGCAGTCTGAGTCTGATCGTAGCCATCTGAGGTATGCCTCCATGTACACTAGGAAGAAATTAATTTTGTTTCTGCTAAACCTGTGAAGATACATTTCCCTTCACAGTCAAGATTGGAATGGGCATCAAGATCATGAGGCCTCTGCTAAAAGGTTTATGCATTAACAATGAAAATTATCTTAGCTGGGCCAGCAAGATGGCTCAGCACGCAAAGGTGCTTGCTGCCAAGTGTGATGACCTAGAACCATCCCCAAACCCACACAGTGAAAGAGAGCCTTGTCCCCAGAGCTGTTCCCTGACCTCTAAAATGTACTGTGGCACACACAAATAAGAAAGAATGAAAGAAAGTGAGGGGGTAAAAATAAATTAAGTTTAGTTGTTTCTATACAAGAATTAAGCATATTCGTGCACATACTAGCTTTCCTAAGGATGTATTTTATACTATAAGTCTGTGTTCATTTCACACATACAAACACACATAACACATGCAAACAGAGAAAAAGAGAGATCTGAGACAGGATCTCATGTAGCTCAGGCTGGCCTCACAACCTGATATGAGCTTAAGGGCAACCTTGAACTTCTGATCCTCTTGCCTCCACCTTCGGGTGTTGGGATTAAAGGGTGAAATTATATGTGGTTTATGGAGTGCTGGGGGTGGAACCCCAGGATTCCTGCATGACAGGCAAATATTCTAGCAACTAAGCTACCAGCATGCATGTTCATCACTTTCAAAAATAGAAATGTATCAACTCTTATGCCAAGTAAATAAAGAAAAAATAGAATTACCCATAACCACGCCACCTAAAAGAACAGCTTTCCATATCCAAAACCACTACATAGCCTGCCCTGCAATTTACTGGCAAGAAGTTCTCCTGTCGGTGACATCTTTTCCTCATGACTGTGCAGCATCAATCTGGAAAGTCCCCACGGTGTCTGCTCAGGAGGATTTAGTGTTGACCGCCTGTGTTTGTTGTTGCTTTCTGTTGCTGTTAATATTACAAAACCCTGCAGTGAGCACCCTCTCCCTCTCCAGTGCCCTCTCATTGACTTCCCATACTGTTTCCTAAGGATGGATCCCTAAACAGACAACAAGCAGAGAGATTTCTTCCAAGAGTGTGACCGGAGAGAGAGAGAGAGAGAGAGAGAGAGAGAGAGAGAGAGAGAGAGAGAGGAAAGTGAAGGAAACTAGGAGGCCCTCAGCAACCACTTTCTCTGCCCCTTGGCCCAGTCCCTTCCCTTCCTCCCTGGTGTCCACAGACGCCATGTGTCTTGGTCAGTTACCAGTTCATTCCTCTCATCTGCCAGCAGGGTGTTTCTATCTTCCAGCTTCCGAATCACTGAATTCAGTTCAGCAATTTTTAGTTGAAATCGCCTCACATCTCGCTCATCCATATGTTGATCCTAAAAATAAAAACTTTGAAGAAGCTCAAATGATTCCATGGAGCCTCTGAAGACCCAATAACAATACAACAGGAATACAACAGACCTGTCTGGAGGACTGTGTGCTCAACAAGGAGACAGATGTACCTGCTACATCCTCCTGGGACACTTCACCTCAACCTGCCCGAGACTTTAAAAATCTCAGTGGTATTCAAACACCAGCCCAGGGAAGCTGAAGCTGCCACCCACCCTGCATGTCTTATAAAGACCCACCACAGGCCATTGTGGTTTCTAGAGGGAGGGATGGAGAAAGTAAGGGAGGGAGGACTCTTACACAGAGAACCCCTGCCAAACAAAAGGAAGGAAGGAAAGAAGGAAGGAAGGAAGGAAGGAAGGAAGGAAGGAAGGAAGGAAGGAAGGAAGACATGCTTCAGCTTCCTGTCTTTGCTAAGGGCCAGGTGGTTGCCCCCCCCACTCTTGGCCTGGGGCCTTTGGTGCTAGCCACTGGGGCATTTGGTGCTAGCCACTGAGCCACTCTCTTGCTTGCCCAGGGCCCTCTTCCTTGCAGAGCTCCAGCTGTGTACCCTTCTCTGAGACTTCCATATCTTTTTTGCAACTCCAGCCACAGTAGGCTCAGACAGTCAGTTCTTCACAGTTCTGAGTACTGGGCCTGGCACACACTGAATGTCAATAAAGGTAGGAAGGACTCAGTGGGGAAGGGAGTGTGAGAGGGGAGAAAAGGACAGAGAAGGGCTGGCAAACTGAGTAGGGCAGTAGCCAGCAAAGTAAGAATGTAGGTAGGTGGTCTTCTCTCTGGCTAGCAGGAGATTCTATCCCTCACCTGGCCACCCATAAGCTCTGCCATGTCTCCAATGCCAGGAGGGAGCTCCCTCTTTGGGCTGCTGTGGTGGCGCTCAGCCTCCTTGACCTGGACCAGCTGCTCATCCAGAGCCTCCTTCTGAAGTAGCAGTCTCTGGGTCTGCCCAGCCTGCACACCAAGCTCTTTCTCCAGGGCCAGGATCACACGCTCCTTCCCTTTGATCTCGTCCATCTGGAAGAGAAAAAAGTGGGCCATCAGGTGTGCTCAGGACCAGGGTGGCATCATCCAGACTTTTGATTGAGGCTGGGTTCACTGAACATGGGATGATCTAGACATGGTGGGACAGCGAGAGTCTGCTTCCCAGAACCTCTAATCTCATCAACACTGAAGACACAGCTCTAGGTCTGAGCATCTACCGAGTTATGGGCACTTCTCACTGCAACTCAGCCCTCCTCACATCTCTCCATAATAAACGCATGAAATCCTGAGACACCCCACAACCTATCAGCTCCCTATGGGCCCCAAGCAGATCAGCCCATCCTGCTTCCTCTCAGATGAGCTTCTTCCAGAGGTGGCTGCTCCTGCCTCCCACTCATTAACGAACACTTTCCTGGATAACTGTATCTTCCATGCAACTGATGAAGACACGTATGTCCCCAGTCCTGACTTCCCTCTGAACCCCAGAGTCACAGAACTACTACCCACCAAAACCCTGCTTGGCCTCCCTTTGCAGGTGTAGGGAACCCCCTATTTTGTGCAGAGACACTTACATCCTTGCTTACTCCAGCCCAGTCAAAACCAGCCTTCCTTAGGGCAGCATGTCAAACAGGGAGCAGAGCTTAGCATGTCAGGCCAGACAGAGCAGGGAACCACACTGACAGAGGTTTGCAGAGGAAACCCCACCATCCTTCAACTTACTCACATGAAGCCAACCATTCGGGAAGAATCCCTGTGAGGACAAGGTCCTAAATAGACTGCCACCCAGAATCTTCATCTTCTCTGGGACCTCTGGATGTGTTTTTCTTTACAAAGAGAACTGCTGCACAGCCAGGGGCCAAAGAACCATAGGCAACCCTGGGAGCTGGGAGAGGTGGGAAGAACCCTCTTCCAGAGCATTCAAGACCACTTGGTCCTGGTGACACCTTGGGTTTGATGTTCTAGGCCTCTGGAACCAAGGGCCATTAGTGAGCCCACACCCCACCCCAGGAGACCAAAAAAGCTTGAAAGCTTGCAAGCCAGATTGTTGGGGAGCTTCTGGTCAACCACAGAAAAAAGTTGGGTTCGTACCAGCAGGTCATCAGCCTGCAGCCACCATCACTCGCCCAGCTCGACAAGGCATAGACTTGATTTATTTTCACTTCAAAGTCCTGGGAACAAATCTGGTTCACCCATGACCCACAAACCTGATCTCAGAGAGGCAAGTGTCCCCAGGCTCTGATTGGCAGCAGAACCCTGTTGGCTCCTCCCAGCCCTCCCATCCTCTCCACACTGCAAGACTGGATCTTCTAGAAGGCAGTTCCTCCCTCCATGTGTGCAAGACAGTGGAAATCACAGTGGGGGCGGCAACTTATCTCAGTCTTTAGAAACTTAGTGAGCTCTGCTGCTCTGTGAAGTTTGGGAGAGGCCGCTACTGCTACAGCCAATCTCACTGTCATCCTTGGCACATGAAATGGGGTGAACTGTGCCCCAAATGCTATGTAAACCATGAAACCATAGCATCTTTGACAAAGACAAAGACAGAGACAGAGAGAGAGAGAGAGAGAGAGAGAGAGAGAGAGAGAGAGAGAGAGAGAGACTCAAGCCCAAACTGTGGAACATAGTGCCATGGGCGGCCTCAGGCCCTGGGGGCCATTCCTGGAATTCTATACCTAGAATCAGTATGCCCGGAGCTCTCTTGCCTTCTCATGCTCTTGCTATCAGCAAGGCTTTTCTGAGGTAGGTGGGGAAGGTGTAGAGACAGGGTCTTCTTATTTAGCCCTGGCTGTTCTGGAACTTTCTATATTGACTAGGCTGGCCTCGAACTCAGAGGTCCATATGCCTCTGCCTCCCGAGTGCTGGGATTAAAGGCATGCACCACCATGCGTAGCTTGTTTTGTTGTTTGTTATCAACAGACTTTTATTTTAAGAAAAAGAGTTTCTTGGAGCTGGAGAGATGGCTCAGCAATTAAGAGCACTGGTTACTCTTCCAGAGGACTGGGATCTGAGTCCCAGCACACACATGGCAGCTCACAACCATCTGAAGTCCAGTTCCAGGGGACCTGATGCCCTCCTTCTGGCCTCCACAGATACTATATGCACACATTACACAAACATGTGCAAACAAAACACCCACATACATGAAATAAAAAACAAACAACAAAAAAGAGTGGACTTTCTCCTGCAGCTGTGAAAGAGCACACCTTCCACACAAGGAGGAATCGGAGGTCACAGGTGACTGGCCAGTATCCAGAGGCACCTGGACCATGTTCTCACCTCCTTCCTTTCCTCTCCCTGTCCTCCTCCTCCCCTTCTTCTCCCTGTCCTCCTCCTTCTCTTCCTCTCTCTGTCCTCCTCCCCTTCCTCTCCCTGTCTTCCTCCTCCCCTTTCGCTCCCCGTTCTCCTCCTTCCCTTCCTCTCACTGTTCCCACCTCTTTCCCTTTTTCTCACTACTGCTCTTCAAGAGAGATCAGCTCACACAATGAGCAACCCGAGTCTCTACTTTCACCTTGTCATAAGTTCTCTTCCAAGGGGCCCCTGTAGTTTCGATACATGCACTGATCCAGGAGGCAGAGTTAGCTCGAGCAGACACAAGAAGAAAGAGCATCCTGCAGGAGCCCTGCAGTGGTGACACCATAGCCATCAGGGTCACCACTGTGCACTGTCTCACACAGGACCTGGGGTCTCCTGGTGAAGATAACAACTGGTCCAGCCCCTGGATTCATGGAGCCCATGTCCTAAACAGAAGATAGGCAACAGCAGAATAGTGGGCAAATACTTGAGATGAAAAATACCACAGTGTGCAAATGAAAAATACCGTAGTGAAGATGACAAAGAGCCTGCATAACTAGATGGCTTGGTGTCTGTTCTACGTGGGGCGCTGAGCCAACCAGCCCTACAGAGGGGACCCAGGGTATAAAGTCTCCCTCAGAGGGAGTTTGGCATGGGAGTTTCTTAGGAAGAAAAGAGCAGCAATGATAGGCCTGGGCATAAACACTACTGACCAAAGGACATGGAAGAGCAGTACAAAGGCCCTGAGGCCCTTCATTAGTCATCATGTATGTACCTGGTGGCTCTCCCACTGGGGCCACAGGTAGGTGCCATGACTATAAGTTGGTGATGGTCCCTGCTGTTACTCTTTGCCTCCTGAGATCTTCCAGGTGCTCAGCTAAGGAAAGTGGGGTCAGGTGGGATGATGACCTCCACTAGCCCAATCCAGCAGCACTCAGAAGCCTTTGAGCCTCTGCCTGGAGACCAAATGTCACTGGGTTACATTTCCCACAGCCATCCTGTCTCCCTAGTGCCAACTAAAGGCAGAGAGGTCACATGGACAAGGGAAGCCCGGGTCCCAGGTCTTACTGGTTCCCACATCCAGCAGTACAAAAAGCTGCTCTGGTTTTTCTAATAAGCAGAGCTGGTCAATATCTGCATCTGCTTAACCAACTCACTGTTGATCCCTGGCCCCTGTTATCAAACAACCACAAGGCTAAATGCCTATGTTTGGGGGTGGAGGGACATCTGGATACCACCTTTGGGCTTGGAGGGGTGAGGAAATGATTTTCCTCACCAGCCCTTGACGTGACTTAACTCTGTAGAGCCAAGGCACGCAATCATAGTGTGAACAGTTTTGCCTTTATCATCTCCTCTTCTTCCAGGACCAGTGGGAGACAGGCTTTGGGCAACTACCTAGTCTGCAGTTCAGGTTTTCTGTCCAACGAGGTATTGCACTCTGGACAGGAACAAGAAGTTAGAAGTCATCCTGGCCTTTACCAAACCACTTACTCTCCAGCCTAGCTTTGCTGATGATGAAGGCTGTAGTAGAATATTATTTTAAGGTGTGTGACTTTTGTTTATGCTACATTTGTTTAACTCTGTGGAACTCTGATTCTTTACCTGTCTAAAACACCTGAAGGTCTAATAAAGAGGTGAGTGACCAATAGCGAGGTAGGAGCAAGGATAGGTGGGGCTGGCAGGCAGAGAGAATAAACATAAGGAGAAACGAGGAAGAGGAGGAGCAAGAGAACAAGGAGTAGAGGATTTCAGAGGCCAGCCACACAGCCACACAGCCACACATCCAGCCATGGAGTAAGATTACAGAAGTAAGAAAAGAAAAAGGTCCAGAGGCAAAAGGTTAACTTAAGAAAAGCTGGCAAGAAGCTAGCCAAGCTAAAGCCGGACATTCAAAACTAAGAATAAGCCTCTGTATGTGATTTATTTGGAAGCTGGGTGGTGAGCTCCTCAAAAAGGCCAAACAGTAAAACATCAAACAACAAAGGTAATTTGTCACTTCCTCCTCTGCCAACATGTTTGATTGATTCTTGATTGGCTCAGAAATCAGCACAGAAAACAGCAGAATGTTACCTCCATTCCTCAAAAACCCTGCTGTGTGTACATTCCTTTTTCTTTACCATTTAACCTCTTGCTGGAGGTGTGCAATGAATGCAGGAGTCCACAATGCTTCCAGTACTGTGCCCAGTCTGCACCGGAAGGTGCAGTTACAGACAGTGACAGACCTCAAGAGAGTCCTTGCATAGTGCAGTTCTATACAGACAGCTTCAATTTAATCACACTCACCTCAAAACATGCCAAGTGAGGACATGGCTCAGATATGTACAAGCACTGTACTGGCTGGGACTATCTCAGATATCTATGAGTGATGCACCCACCTGGGGCAACCAGGAAAACATTACCCAACACCCAGGGGAGCTCCTTTGTGCCTCTTTCACAGCCCCACCCTGCCGGCAGCCTCCACTCTGTCCTCCAGTGCCACCATCATCTTTCCCCCTTTCCCTCTTGGTAGAGATATGATCATACCATAAGCTATTTTCACCCTCATCTTAGGGTTGTCTTTTTTCTCCTGGCACATGTCTGTGTCAATCCTAGTTCTTGTACACACCAGAAATGTATTCTTTATTATATTGCTCTGTAATATTCCTTTAACTGAATATGCCATTATTCACATTAGTACTAAGTTACACAGCATTTTTTCTTTGTCCTTCGGGGTGAGCAGGCCTTCATGTTTAACACGTGACCTT